AGAAATAAGGAAAGCATTCTATGATTCAGCTTTTAACCTTTTAAAAATTTTCTTCATTATTTGTTACAATGGTCTTTTTATGGGCATAATCATGACCTTTTGTAGCCTTTCTCTGAATCTCTTGTCTTCCACATACAGCCAGAACTCAGGCTGGTGTGGCTGCAAACTGAATTGTGCCTTCACAGCTCTGCATCTCATCGGTATTTCAGACTGTGCTATATCATTTAGCTGCTAAGGATGTGTGCCACTGCAAAATGTACAGCGTATCTTGAGGTCTATTCATTAGAGGGCAGATTAGCAAATACATTATAGAGACAGTTATTGTAGCTTGGCAGTCTGATAGTGAAGAAGTACAGGAAGTATCAAGAAAATGAATGGCTATCATGAATATTATATAGGCCCTTGTGAAGCCACTATTAAACTGTGGGTAAATTCAGGACATTTATTGCATAGTTGTGTAGTCCTTTTTTTTTTTTTGACAAGCAAGTTTTAAATCTCCTAAAGTCCATGCAAGTACTGTACAAGCAATAATAACTCCAGGAGTGATTTAACAGACCTTTCCAAAGGATGCTCACCTCTTTTATTTATCGAAGAGTTTTGATGCTGAACTTGAAAAAGGAGACTTCCTAAATCACTGAGCCATTTCTTTGTCACATAATCCCAATGTAAAGTAAGTGAACTAAAGATTTGTTACAAAAAGCTTTTTGCTATTTTCTCAGTTATGAAATGAGAATTTAAGTTTAAATTAAAGAAGGAGGGAACAATGGGAGATTTTGGAAATATCTATCTATATGCTGAATATACTCAAATGTAGTCAACTAGAGGAAAAACACAAAAATTAAGACTTTAATAACTAAAAAATTCAATAGAGAAAAAGAAGTGAAAGAATAAATGCAAGACAGAGAAAGCAATGACCTCAGGATGGTCTTACTTTATGTATTAAATCAGGAAGACAGTTTCCTGAGAACTTCCATCAAGAAGTTAATAATTCTGAAAAAATAAAAGAAGTTTATCTGCAAATTATTCAGTGTTAATCAAAATCAAATCTACTGACTTCCCATTGAAATTCACTTTTACTTATGTAAACAATATAAAAAAGTAATGCAATATGGTTGACTACTTTGAAAAAAAAAAATTCCAATTTATTCTTGCAATTGGCTTAAATCAGAAAGATTGCATGTGCAACTTTTTTTCTTCAAATGAAAGTACAGTAAGACTTGCAAGAGAAACTGAAATTCATCCACTAGTCTCAAATTAATTGAAGGGTAAAAGCAAATTAATTTGAAAAATACTGTGTTTGCAGGTTATTTTGGAACTGGAAGTCCTGAGGTGGCATTGAGAGAAACATATGTGTTTCATTTGGATGATGTGGAGAAATTAGCAATATGTTAAAATTTAGGTGTTTACATCAAATTAATGTGTCCTGAACTCTTTTTCTTCACATTTCAGAAGAATTGTTGAACAGCTTTAAAGAAATGTGGGTGGGTTTTGTGGCAACTACAATTTGAGGTACAAGCAAATTCTACAGCACATCGAATCCATAAAAATTTCAGAAGTGTTTGCATTTTTCCCTGTAAATTTTTCACAATTCATATTCTGTATGTATGTATGTATATATATATATAAAATTGGAATATATTTTATTTGTATTTAATAATATATATTTCTATTTATCCCTGATGTTATTCACATTTTTTCCTGTGAAAAAACCAAATACTAAATATTGACCTATATGTGGCTGATAATTAACCATTTTTTCACAGATTAGGGTTTGTTATTGATTATGCAATTTTATGATGAAAGTTGCCACAATAAATGTTTTAGCTATCTAGATGTCCTTACATAAATAAATATGTAAGTAGTTTGACTATTAATAGCATACCTTTTTATTTTATTTGGTATTATCAATTAACAAATCTTGATCTCATGCTATCTTAATTCAGTTTATAATTTACATAATTTTAAATCTTCATCAATGAAGTTAAACATATCTTTGCAATGTCACCATATTTTATGATTTAAAACACACCATACCTGTCAAGACTCCTACATTAAACAGGGATAGAATTCTTCTTTTGTAATTGTTATGCTGTAACTGTTCTTTGTGTGTAGAGTTGCCAGTCTACATTCCACCACCCCCACAATATAATTGTCATTTAACTGTTTGTCTTTTTACTGTTTGTTCCAGTTTTATGTAATAGGAACAGCAGGGGGCATTCAGAGCTTTATATGCTGGATATGGTTGGATATGATGCTATGGTGCTACTTTACTGCATTTTGAAAGTGTAGAATGCAGTTTGATCAATTTAAAATATACCACATAAAATCCATTATTTCACGTAATATACATTTATGCATCACGAACCTGTCGTTTATTTCTTTGTTCGGTTATACATTTTTTTTTACGTAAGTATTTAGACGCATTACTTTCACACAGGATTTCCATCAGATGGGTGAAAACAAGAATGTGTTACAAATTAGTTGCAATAATTTTAAAATCATGAACAAAATAATTTTCTTAAAATGCAAACAATTACATCTTAATGTGATCTCTAAAAAAAACCCAACAAACAAACAGAAAAACCACAACAAAATCAGAGGAAAAACATCTGACTTGAGTGCACTGTTGCTGTGGTGAAAAAGTGTAATGGAAAATGGATGTCCTTATCTCCAGCTACCAGAAGAAAAAGGAAAGAAAAGTAGTCCAGGATTTCTTACAAGCCATATCTTAAGCTCCAAAGAGAAGTTAGGAGAGCTTTGAGGAGTGACCTGCCTTAGAAAGCCTCTTTGCAAATAAGCAAAAGCCTGAGAATCCTACAGGCTCATATGAATGTACACCAGGCGTCAGGGTGAGGATGCCTCTCAGGCGTTATTTGAGGATACGTGGGTGGAGGTGGCTCTATAACAACACGACATTTCCCTCTTCCTGGGATACAGAGAATATTCTCCTGCGTACAGTGCTAATTAGCAGGGGAAAGTAGGTGCCAGCAAAGTAGTCCACATACTAAACCTGGCCATTGTCTAGAGTGGAACACCAAGCAATTTATAAGGTCAGAAAAACTCTGTATGCATGAGTTCAAAGTTTAATATGATTAAAATTCTCTTACAAGACTTAACATGCAACATTTATTGTGAGAATTGCTCACACGTTTTTGGGTTAAATGCATAAACAGGAGGACATCTGAGGATCTTTCTTGAGTCACTGGCATATAGAAGTATCAGGGTATCCCTGCTTATTTGCTCCAGTGACCAAACCAGATACAGCACACCTAATCAAGTTTGACAGTATTCTAGAAGTCTGGAGGTACATGTGGGATTGGGGAGAAGTGGGTTTGAATTTATGTTTCTCTTTCTAATCTTACTGAAATATCTTTTTCACTCTCACCCTCTCTGAAGTTTCTAAACAGCTTCCAGTATTCTGTCAGTAGAATATACGTCATGTCTTCAAGCAAATGTGTGACTTACAATCCAACAGTTGCTTTTTGTTTTGGTGCATAAATAAAACTGTAAAAAACCTCTCCTTGACAAAAGGTAATCCTACAGTTCAACTGGTTTCATCCTACATAAGACAGCTGATGAGAATGAGAAAGTTGGATAATTATGTTAATCTGAAACTGAAATCACAGAATGACAAATTTTGAGTTTTGTTTTTTTTCTAGAATGTGTCAGAGTATTACAGGATTTCCCAGAAAACTGTCACATGGACATATTTTATTACTTTATTTTCCTATATTTTCTGCACTAATACTTGATATTCATATCCTAGTTATTGTATGGATTCCAATGGCTAGGTGCATAACTTCAGAGATCGAATAGATTATTCAAAGCATGGCATCTCACACTGGTTAAGTGTTTGTAATCTAGGTCTCACATTTCTTATCTTTTCACAGTCTGCCTTCTGGCCACACTAATGTAGGCACTGAGAGGACAATTAATTTGTTGGATTGCACTTTGCCATTTGAGGTGCTGTGGGGTGCCAGGTGGTACCGTACCTGGACCTTACCACCCACTCCACAAGGACCTGGAAATTCTGAACACCCTCTGTCACACTCTCAGGCCCATGCAGATGTCTCAGTTAGTGCAGGGCCTCAGAAGGTACTGCATTTCTGTCTTTGGACACTTGAATCCTCCTTTCAGTCATCTGAATAGCCCTGTTGGCTCCTGTGATTACACAGACAAGACCTCTGTGGAACCAAGAGGTGCACATGCAGGCAATATAGACATTGCAGCTTAGATCTGAATTAGGAGATGACTCCCACCTTCACATTCCAACTGACCACCCCAGCAAATGCAATTGCTTAATAGTTACTATCTGTATTTCACAGCCTACTTCCAGTTCTTTAGCAGGTCAGCCTAGATGGTGTCAAATTTTAATCAGCTTCTTTCTATTTCTAAATACTAATCCTATGAATGGACCATGTAAGAATATACAGAATAAAAACAGAAGGTGTACCATATGTTTGACAGCAGAACACAACATACTTATACTGCCCTTACACACTGTAATACTCTTATAACTTTTCTTGGTCTTTTTATGTGTCCTTTGTGCTGCACTTGCATCCATGCAGTCCATCTGGTTTTTGATTTACCTCTGGATAACTAATAATTTACAGTACTCTTAAAATATACCAAGGACATTAATTTTATATCAAAGATTTTCAGGAACTTAATATCTAATACAGTAAAAAACCCACAAAGTTTGTGCAAATTTACAACCATACAGAAAAGATGCATAGTTAGAGTATTTCTTCATGTGATTTTTCCAAAACAAACAGAAGTTTTTTCCATACTTTTTTAATCTAATATTCTTTAGGTCAGTGCCTACCCAGAAGAAATGTATCTGGTATGTTTATAATGGAGGATTTTATCAATTTTGGAGAAGAAATTACTGAAACAATGGAAAATAGACTTTTTTAACTTGTCTATAAATTGTTTAGACCTAAAGAATATGTGCAGGTTTTTTTTCTGATGAAGCACATAAATATTTTTTATCACTTCACCTGTTCATTCACTCTGGAGTGTGATGGTCCATGATGGATGAGAATCTTCACAATATCTACATCTCCTCTCCAGGCAGCCAAGTGAATAGGAAAGTAACCTTTATTATCTGCTACATTAGTTGATGCTTCATACTGAAGTAATTTGAGAACTATATCCCTGGAAAACAGGAGGTAAATCTAAAAATGGACAGGAAGCTAATTTTATTAAGTTTTTACATGAACATACATATTACCACTATTTTTATAATGGAAAATAGAAAAAAAAACCCAAACCTGTACCTCAAGTGAAACAGCTACAAAGAGTGAAGACTATAATACTATTGTTTAATTAATTAATTAATTAATTATTAATAGAATAATTTCTGAAAATTAAATAGTAAAACATAGACAAAATGCTATCCATTGTAACGATTCTAATGCTATCCATTGTAACGATTCTTGCTTCTTATGAATATCAACAACAATATTATCACCTGCTTTCTGAATCTGTTTCTTTCAATAGGATCACCTGGCCACAGAATCATTTTTAGAATTTTCCCATCTAGAACCTGGGCATGTCCCTCAAGGCACTAAAGGCAGAGAAATACTCTTGGCCCCATCACTGCTGAATTCTGGAGGCAGGATGACAAGAGGATAATTTACCGTAAAGCTTAAATAATAGTTTTTCCTCTTCTTTAAGGCATTATCTCAAAGATAGTTAGGAAACAATTTAATGATGATCTAGCTAGGTATTTGAAATAGCTTCTATGTATAACTTCTGTGAAATAACTGCTTCCATTTTCATTTCCCACATTCAGCTGCCTTGTAGCAGTGAGGGGAAAAGTGACTTATCGCCATTTTAATTCTCTTTATATTCCTTTCAGCACTTTTGGTGTGGCTTACCATACATTAAGTGAAAGATTAGCATAAGTTGGTATATTGCATCCCTGATTTTTAAGCAGTCTCCTGTACTTAACTTCAAAAGCTAAACATAAAAATCAGCTGTGTGGTATGATAACATTACCAAGTATGTCAGAAAGTAAATAAATTCTGTCTTATTGCTGCAGTTGTAGTCTCATAATTTGACACAGTCAGGTCTCACTAGTTATTAAGCTAAGAGAATCTATGATCCAGTGTGGGCAGTTCTACGCACACTTTTTACAAATATGGAAACACTGACTTAATGATTTGGCTCAAAAAATCAGTGAGGGGAGGGAGCTCAATGTAGCCTATATTATGACCAAAAATGACTACAAAATTGACTACAAATTAAGACAGAAGATAAATCTAAGGCAATTATTCTTCCAACCTTGAAGGAACCTTATTTAATTGCATATTGAAAGAAAAATGTGGCAAGTTATGAGGGAATATATCCAGGTCAAAAGAAACTCCCAGCTGACTTCAAAAGATACTGGAGTCATCTCATCAAAGCTTTGAGGAAAATTTAAGCTGGATTTTGGTTACTCCTGACAAGGTCAAATACCATGAGAACAGCCAAGAAAGAGCAGCTCCACTACAGAAAGACTTCTGCTACACAAAAAGTTCCAGAAAAGGGACTCCTGAGGGAAACTTTTTAGTACATGTAAGGTTTGAGAGACTTCCCATTAAATAATAGTTAGTTTTTGCAGTAAATGGTCCAATGAGAGCTAGATGTACACAGCAGCTTATCTGAAAGGAAGACCAAACAGAGGAAGCATAAATTGAACTATGTGGAAGAAAGTCAGTAGAAAAGCCCTGCACAGATGAAATCTGGAGATAAAAACAAACAGGAATTTTTGGGGAGAGTCTATTGTGAGATTCAAGCTACAAAATAGAACATGCATCTCCTTCATCCTTCAAGAATGCCCTAACCCATTACACTTATCTAGGGTGAGACTTCTTTAGTGCTTTGGCAGAACTTTTTCATTTTGTGCAAATACATTTCAGAGAGGAGGAGACTCAAAGTCCTTAGCCCAGTAACATTACTGGGATAAGTGAAATTACTTAGGGAGACTGAGATTCCAGTGCCTGCCCCAGATATGATTTAATTACTTAGATAAAGCTGAATAGTTTCCCAAGGAAAGAAAATTATCCCAGAATAACCAAGGAGGAGGGAATTCATCACACACAGTGATCAAGCAAGGATTTGAACAATGGTGTCCAAAAAGTATCTCAGCCACAAATTCGTATGTTCTTACTTTTCTTGAAAAACTTTGAAATCCCTCAGGTTCAACCTAGTGTAAAGTGGGAAAAATTAAAATCCCTGAGTTTTTAAAGGACAGAAACTTCTCCTAAGTGGGAAGATTCTTGTGTCAAATGATTGTATGCCCTTTTGATTTTGAATATCAAGTTTGAAAACTCAAATAGAGTGTAATTTATTTTTTATTTGTGATGACTAACAAAATTAGAATCACCAGGTGTCTGTCCAATTCTCTTGCTGACCATGCTACCATTGCAGCAGGATCAGTATAATGGCTTGGATAACAGGTCCTGAAACCCTCATGATTTATCACAAAATATCTCATGATGTAGTCATCATCATTTACTTTAATATTAGAAGGTATAATTGTGATGTCAGTTACTGCTGCTTATCCTGCTGTGAGTGTATGGGGTCATAGCAGCCAACATTGCACTTTTCGAAGGCTGTAGTTATATCTGCTGCTGTACATAAATCCACATTTTTAAGTCCTCCCTGTCCTCAGAAAAAGTTTGGTCAATACTACATCTGAAATCATCATTTGGCTTTTGTATGTTTTGGGATTTGATACTTTATATTGCTAGGATTCACTTGAAAGCTCTGATAGTTTCAATGTTTATACAGCAATATTTTTAAGTTTCTGTGTAACTATTATTTTATTGCCAGTATTACATACACTAAACCCAGTTTTCATCTATTTAAAACCAGCGATCTTTGCAAGCCAGTGCTTGGGGTTTGGTCAGTCAAAAATTAGCAATAGCACTAGAAACAATCCATAAATCATGAACAAAAATGCTGAGTCTAACAGACCATAATAAGAACTTAGACCTAATTTCATGGAGATAAAAATATATTAAAGGATTATTCTGAACCTTCCTACACAAAGCTAAAACTTTGGAAAATGCACAATATCTGGTTCAAGAGTTTACTTCATATATTTATTTAGAAAAAATATCCCATATTCATCAAAAGATTAGTCCATCCTAATGAAAATAGGCACCTTTCTAGAATACAATTGAAGACACATCCTAAAATTTTAGTTTATCCTTAGAAGGATGCAAAAATTGTGCAATGTGTAAACTAAACACATAATAATTATATATGCATGTGTTATTTTATGGATAGTCCAAAATCACATTAAAATTCATACAAATCACTCTTAATTTCAGCTGAATTTGGACCAATTCCTTACCTTCCACAGAGGAGTAAACCAAAGCTTTATGTCAAAACTTTCTTTAGTGAAAATATTCTTATTTTTCCTGCTTTCAAGCGCATAATTACTAAATATTTTTTTCATGTTACTTTTGCTTTGATAACAATTAATCTCTACTGTTCTGTTTCACAAAACTGCTTCCTGAAATGTTCACACTCTATACATATGTACATACACACAGAAACATAACACAATATTTTCTGCTGTGATTTCCCAGCATTGGAAAAATGCTAGAGCCAAGACTAGCAGTAACAATGCTAAATTTCCCCCAAACTGAGGAAGAATTTGGAAGAAGCAGTATAGAATAAATAGTTTTAAACATTTCTCATTTGTCATTTCTACTTATTAATACTGAGGACAATGTCAAAACATCTTATATTAATATATTCCATTGGAAAGAAGGCTTTTTTAAAAAGTCAGGGTTTGCCAATTTTTGGTACAAATCACAGAACTATGCTGTATTTTCTTGCATTACACAGTTAAATACCATTCTACATAAAAACTAAATGTGAGGCACTTACTTGTGTCCATTTAAAGCTGCATGATGTAAAGCAGTATAACCTGAACTGTCAGTGCAGTTTATGTTTGGTCCTCGCCAGATGCTGCAAATACAGAAAAATTGTGAAGTTAATTTTTTGGCTTGGCAAGTACAGAAGTGTCATAAATTTAATCCACAAATAATCTAAAGACCTCTGCAACAAGTGTGATAAAACTTTAAGAGATGAATTACCTTGAAAGAAACTTGAAATAGCAAATTTCATCTTGATAGCAATATGATTTATTTATAAAAATAATTTTACACATCCATCTATATATGAGTCATGAACTGTATATAGGGCAGACTCAAAGACTAATGACAGAATAGTCATTTCAATTAGATCTCTTCTCCCTCTATTATTCTGGTAATTACAATGAGGTTATCATCTGATTTTGTACTACTGTTCCACAAGTATGTAATCATTGTCTTTAGGTCAGTCTAGAATCAAACAAGCATCAGATTAGTTGGAACCAATCAAATTGTTTAAAGGGACAGGAAATTTATTCTTTTTACTTAACTTGATATTTTAGCTCCCACTTTAGCTGATTATATACTTAAAGTAAATTAGATATGCCTTTAAAAAGAAATTAAATTCTATTTTGTTATCTTTCTGTATTTTACATTCAACTTCATTACATATCCTGTTTAACCAGTTTCATGATCTATTATGGACTCTTCAAAAAACTCTAAAGGACAGATTTTGTTTCAAAGTGGAAATCATGGGTGCTAATCTACCAAAACCAACAACAAAACCAAGCCTTGGAAATTGGATAACAGAGGTGTATTGAGAACCAGCAGGCTATTTTGTCTAACCGATTACATTTGAAACTGATTGTATCCCTTAAAGAAGCAACTGACCCTTCTGTAACAGTATTAAAACTTCCTGAGTACAAAATTTTGACTCCTGAATTACAGTCTGTTTTCTTTAGTTTCTAATACCGTGCTAAACATCCATTGGCGAGCCATATTTCCCTTCACTTCATGCATTAGAATCAAGTGCTGTAGTTTAAAGAAAATAATTTGAAACTAATAAGTAAAAAGAATTTTTCATATTGACATTTTTCATTATCTACATTAGTAAAATGACATTATGCTTAATATATGATTTTTAAGAATTATTTACTATTGAATCTGTATTTTATTACCCATAAAATGGAATATATATTTATACACATATATATATATATATGCACACTCGGGAATACTGATGTAGACTGGTCTCTTTTTGATTGTGTGTATTGGAGTGATTCATTAGCTCATAAACTGAAGAAGTTGTTTTCCCCCAAGTAATACTGTGTGCATACAGAATTATTTGTGTGAAACATTGTGTTCTGCAGTGAGCATAATTCTACATAATGCTGGGTACTTCACCTCTCCCTGAAATTTAATTTCTTGGAAGAACAGGATTGAATTATTTTCTTGGATGCAAAGAAGAAGAAAAAACAAAAAAAAAAACCCAAAAAGTGACTTTTTAAAAAATCTGCTCCAACATCTACAGATGTTCTTTTCTACAGAAGGCAACTTTCAGATACAAAAAGTCACTCTAATCTTTTCAATGAAAGGAAATTATTTTATCTTCATGGAATAGTAAAAATTAAGTTCCTGAACAGATAGCTCTTGATAGACAGATGTTATTTGTAATGCAAAGGCCAAGCTTTCTATCTACTAGAAGGAAATAAATCTTTATTTATTGATAAGATACAACCTCCCTTATACTTTTGCATAGTGTTTATCAATTACTGTCTTATTTGTTGAATTATATTTTCATCCTTTGATGTATACCAGCTTATAGGAGAATGAAGAAAACAAGAAGCGTATAGAAAGTAAGATTTTAAATGTTACCAAAAAAGAAAATACACTACCAACCAGAACATAATTTACTTGATTTTGTTAGCTTGCTTGCTTTGACTTAGAGTTGTTGGGATTTGTCTATTGGTTGTTTTGGCAAAATGCAAGGATACAAGAGTTCATGTACTGTTCATAATGTGCTAGGCATCATGAATAAAAAAACAAAAAACCCACAAAAAAACTAAAAACAAAAACCTCCCACCAACTCGACACAAAAGATAATACTTATTCATTCTCTCCTAATTTTCTTCTTTAATCCACTTATTAATTAAAACATTGTTGTATATTCTGACTCTGATCTTAGGAAATATTTTTGAACTGAAACTATTCTGATTTATAAAAAAAACAGCTCTGAAACTTTATTAAAGCATATATAAATGCACTTATGTGAAACTCCTCAGGACATGCAGGTTGGGTGGGTGAGAGGCAAAGGACAAAAGACAATGAGTAAATGCTGATGACTCAGAGACACAAGACAGGATGGACAGACTAATCACTGGCAGCTCCCAAAGGGTACACAAAGACGTTCAGAATCACAGTGTGATTATCAAACTACAGAACACAGCAAGCACGAGCAGGACTCGGCTGCAGGACTCATCCCTTGGCCCAGTGCAGAAATCCTCTCGTGGATTTCGACAGTATTGGAACATTATTTCCTACAAAAGGAATGCAGGTCCAGTATATATATACATGGGATATTTATGTTTTGATAACTGAGAATCAAATTCAAATTGGACAGTCTGAATACAAATTCTTACATGCTAAAACTCCCAGCTTCAGCTAAAGCTCTTCTCTTGCAATCCTAATACAGCGGGACAAAAGTCCAGCCGTCTATAAGCTCCGTACAAAGCATTTGACTTCAAACAAAAGTGGAATAGAGATTGAGGAAAAACCTAAATATCCTTTCTTTAGTATCATAAACATACATGATATGTGAAGAATCATTAAATATATTGATCTATCTGTGTATTAAAACATCTGTGAAAGCAACACTAAGGAGAATCTGACAAAAAACAAATACCATTCAATGTCCAGAAAAGAATATTTGTTGACAGAAAATCAGCGGTTCTTTAGGATACCATTAATATTGAATGTTCTCAAAAATATATTTCTTCTATTACTTTGATGCAGTCAGTAATCAAACTTCTTAATGGGGCATGCATTAGTAAGTTAGGAATCTGTTTTCCTATGTACATCAGCAAATTAAAACCTTCCTATTACTTAATGTATTTTAAGAAGGTAATTGAAACTACTTTTTGTGCAAAAAAAATAGTTTTCATTCAACAATGAATTAAAACATGATTATCAATTAGTTTCTTCCATGACATCTTGCCAAAGTAAAGCACAAATAAATAGAAGTCTGTTATACTATCTACATTATTGCTGAAAGCAGAAAGATCTCCTTCTTATAGTCTGCTTTCACTGTGGACAAAGTATATTGACCTTATGAAGTGATGTCAAATATTAATTGAAAATACTCTTTACTTGGTCAGAAATTTATTATTGTTTCTCTTTTTTTTTTCACTTGCTAAAATAGTTACATATAAAGAGTAGTATTTCAAAGAAACATGAAAATGACATAAAAAGATGGTTAGTTGATTGATTTCTTATTTTGCTATGCTTTCTGGAAAGAAATAATTGTGAAATGGCTGTTGTTACACACAAATTAACAGAAAAGCAAGGAAATAAAAGCTTTTTCCAGGTAATAATCTAAACATATTCCCCATCAACAGAACTATGCTTGCAAGGAACACATCATTTTTTTATGCATCACATTTCCTCTCTGTATATATGTCTGCATTATATCACTCCATTATCATTATACTATTTCATGACTATGCAAAAATATTTCTGGTCCTTATATGGTAGTTTTGCTAAGGTGAAAGGAAAATATTTTTGGTAAACAATGATAAGAGTTTTTAAAAATCTTAGAGAACTGCCTGATGACATGACATTCTGAACTTCATTCTCTTTCCATTGATGTCAATGGCAAACACCAGTTCAATGTACACAGCCTCTTACTGTTCCTGTGTTCCACAGAATAAATACATATTACAGGAATTCATCTTGTTCTCAGCCAAAATCTTCCAGAATTTCAATGCTTTTTGTTAATCTGACAGGAGCACATTGAATAAAGTCTTTTGAGCACACAACCAGGCTCTTTATTAGTACTCTGCCTACATTCATGCACATGTTCAGTTGTGCTAAGTCACTTTATACAAAGTACATGGTCAGTATTGCAGAGAATTTTGAAAATGAGAACTTTTACATGATAATGTGTATCATGATTCAGATAAATAATAATAATACTATTACTTATTGTGAACAGCAGAAAAATAGCTCCCATTCTCTATTTCATGCACAAATATATTACACTGACAACTCTTCCTTTAACCTATATCTTAATAATGTTACTTATCAAATACAGAAGTGTATCATTTTAGTAAATTTGAATTTTTTTCTTTCTATGGATTCATCTTTGGTAGAATCCAGTTTTATGCCAGATACATTATTCTATAAAAATTTGTATTTCTTTTTCATGCATGGTTTTACCTATTATTAACACTCATTTGCTGAATTTGAGGTACATCTTCAAATTACTTCAAAGAAAGTAAATTTAAATATTTGCTTTTAGTAGCAGTGGAGATAAAACCCTTTTAGAAAGTCATATTTTTAAGCCTAATAAATAACTGTACATGGGGAATAAACATTGAAAAATGTATTTTAGGATTAATTTCAAACAGGTGCAGTTATAGGTATTAAACTGAAAACAGAAGATGATATTTTGAGTAAGGCTATCTTTGATCTTCTTTCCAGTATCAAAAAACCTGTTGCATGAAGCAACTGAGAATTAAAAATCTCAAATTAAAATAATAATTTTTATTTTAATTAAAAATAAATGGAATGACAAATGACAAATGATTATCAATTCAATTAATACTGATTTTATGCTTAAAGCTTATTGTATATATAATTCCAATTAAGAACTTTTGATGTATCAGTGTGAAATGTGACTCAAAAACATTTCAACTTTGAATCTGCTTATCTCCTATGTGATTCCTGTTGTTTAGTTGCTTCATTATAATACATTATACATTATAATACAACAAAATTCAACTGTTCATGGATTAAGGATGTTACTCAAGTTCAGGTTCTAAAGCGGCTTATTCCATTTGCTTTCTTTAACTTTGATCTGTTTACAGTCTTGGCCTTACT